GACTTCCATGAAAACTCACGTCTGTTGGTTCATGAAGCAGTGATTTAAGAATTTTTATTGTCTGAACATGCGAGCGGGAAGGAAAGATTTCTCGGAAACTATACGAACACATGCGATACCCACGAGCGGGCGAGGCGAGAGCCGTTTAAGCGTTTTACACCAGTCTCACACCTTGTCACACACTTCGGGAAATGAAAACTACCGCCAAACAGCTGCTAAACGTTTTATAGCCGAGCGGTCACCGGCATACCAATCTGGTAGTTTTTCTACCGCGTTCCATGCGGCCGCAGCGCCCGTGTGCGGGGCGATCAATGACCATGGCGGCGGTCTGCGGAAACCGGCGCCGCTTTGGTGGTGGGTCAGAAAATGCGAGACGGCTGCTGAACTTCAGATGTGATTTTGACGCCGGCATCCACGACATCGCATGTAGCAAGCCACCAACGGTGCAGACGTCACGGAGCGAAACAAGTCACTGCCTGGTGCGAAGAACCAAGTGTAACAGGTCACCGATACAAAGCACCGAGTGCAACAGGTCACCGACCGATTGGCCGTGTCGTTATTGAACAGGCATGTGGTGTGTTCGACAAACGACATTGTCCCGGACGGCGACAAAAACAGGGCGCAGCCGGCAGAGAGCCAGGCAGGCGGAAACGGCGTACCGACACCTGAACGACAGCGGCGACATCGCTGGATCGACCGACCGCAAAAGTCGCAACATTCGAACGGCGCACCTGGAAACTGGACTTCGGGGCACCTGGACACTGGACGCGTTCATTGTCCATGGACAACTGTTAATTATTCTGTGTACTGACCAGAGCCTATTTTAAGGGAATTTGACTGGGGGGGGGGGCAACCTGGAAAATTGTCTCTAATAATCCATCAACCCTTGCCCGTGATGAAAGGAAGCCGATGATACCCAATTTTAACCCTCGCCGACCCTCGCCGACACAGGGGGGGGGGGGGGTTGATGCAACACCTCTAAGGTTTTTTCGCGAATAACTCGCTTAAAAAGCTGCCGATTGCAACGAAACTTTCAGTACCCTCGCATTTATCAATTTTACACCTACCCTGAAAATTTCATGACCCTGACCCAAATGACCTTTGACCTGTGACCTACTTTCCGAGACCATGTTTGGCCGGAATCACGATTCGGCGTATGTCGACTCGCATTAGCCGCGCTTTTGCAAGCTTTTCGTGCTTTCAAACGTTCAAACATGTGATTTGATGTTGCTCCCATGCATTAGGGTGGATGTCAAGGTCACCTGAAGGTCAGGTCAGGTCAGTGACCTTTGATGACCTCGGTTCACTTTTTCGAGTTTTACATGTTTCTAGGCCAGTTTTTGGAGCTGAATTCGAATTTAGCAACCCGATGAACATTTACGAAGCCTAGTTTTAGTGCCTTTGTAACATGTTACGAAGCTGTCAGAGGCGGTTGACACCTACTAGGAATACCCGGCAGGACCCCTACTGGTTGACCTGACCTGACCTGACCCGACCTGGACTAAATGCATGAAGACATCATCTGTGATCAAAACTCACATGATATCATTCGGATCAGCACCCCGAAAAACCCCATAGCAGCCACACTTTACGACGTTCTAACAGGTCCCAATTTTCCCGATTTTCGGGTCATTGACCTGACCTGGAAGGTCACCCGATGACCTAGGACATTAAAATTGGATATCATCGGCTTCCTCTCGTGACGGGCAGCACGCTCGTTTTTTTCCGCGAAGCTCTAGCTCGATCAGGGGCCAAACACGAGGGGGGGGTCGTACCAACCCCCCCCTTGTGCCGTCGAAGGACGCAAAATGGCCTGTGCCGGCGAGTGTTAAGGTTCTAGGTCGTCATCACTTGACCTTCCAGGTCAGGTCAATGACCCAAAAGTCGGGAAAATCGAGACCTGTTAGAGCATCGTAAAGGGTGGCTGCTATGTTTTTTCGGGGTGATGATCACGAATATCATGTTAGTTATGATTATAGATGATGTCTTCATGCATTTAGGCCAGGTCGGGTCAGCAGGTCATGTCAGGTCAACCAGTAAGGATTTTGCCGGGTGTTCGTAGTAGGTGGCAACCGCCTCTGACAGCCTCGTAACATGTTACGAAGGCACCAAAACTACTTCGCAAACGGTCAAATGGTTGCTAAATTCGAATTTAGCTCCAAAAACTAGCCTAGAATCTTACAGAACTCGAAAATGTGAACCGAGGTCATCAAAGGTAAATGACCTGACCTGACCTTCCGGTGACCTTGACACCCACCCTAATGCATGGGAGCAACATCATATCCCATGTTTGAACGTTTGAAACCACGAAAAGACTGCAAACGAGCGGCTAATGCGAGGCGACATGCGCCGAATCGCAATCCCGGCCAAACATGGTGCCATGGTGCTAGGCCGCCGGTGCATCTGAAAGAACTGTGGGTGCCCCTGACAAGCCTGAAGTTCCAACGACAGGCCCGTGGTGCCCCTGACAGGCCCATGATGCCCTTGCGAGGCCGTTGGTGTCCCTGCTAGGCCGATGGTGCCTCTGCTAGGCCGCTGGTGCCCCTGGGCCCTGAGAGGACTGTGGTGCTCCTGACAAGCCTGGAGTGTCCCCGACAGGCACGTGGTGCCACTTACAGGCCAAAGATGTCCCTGCGAGGCCGATGGTGCCCCTGCCAGGCATGTGGTGTCCCTGCTAGGCCTCTGGTTCCCCTGACAGGCCTGTGGTGTCCCTTGGCCCTGACAAGCTTGAGGTGCCCCCGACAGGCCCGTGGTGTCGCTGACAGGTCCGTGGTGCCCTTGCTAGGCCTGTGGTGCCTCTGGCAGGCCTGTGGTGCCCCTGGCGGGCCTGTGGTGGTATCCCTGACAGGCCCAAGGTGGCGCCCCTGCGAGGCCGGTGGGGCCTCTGGCAGGTCTGTGGTGCCCCTGGCAGACCTATGGTGCTCTTCCTAGGTCGATGGTGCTCCCAACAGGTCTGTGGTGCCCCTGACAGGCCGGTGGTGCCCCAGGCAGGCCTGTGGTGTCCCCGGGCCAAGGGGGGCGGGGGTCATAACCCATATGACCCACCATTGGATCCACCACTGGTCATTACTTGCAGACTGACTCATTTGACATCCATTGCAAAACAAGTCACAGTTGTATGTTTGTCACCGTGTTCCTTTATGCCCATTTTTATAGTGGGCACATCTCGACGACTGGGGGGGGGGGGCAATTCTGTTGAGTGCGGGGGCATTTGCCCCCCCCCCCCAGTTAACATGTTAAAATAGGCCCTGGTACTGACTGGGAAATGATCTTGACCACTAAAAACACACCTTTGGACTCTCAGCACCGGATAGCGGACATCGCTCAGCCAGTTTTGGGTGCAATTCCTGAACTGCAGATACCCGAATTCCGAGCCTCGATTCTCCCTTAGCATCGGATTTTTGTCACACCTGTGGACATCCACGACAATGGAGGGGTCAGATCCCATTACCATCTGATCGAGCACTGCGGTGGGGTCCGTCAGCCGTCCCATGGTTCCTCTGACGTCATCCGACAGCCGGTCATTGATCTCCATTGACCCCCGGCCCCGGTCGGACGGAGAGGGACAGAGAGGCGGTGTATGGGCCCAGGCCCGGAGAAGGCGTTCATATATGGCTATCGAATGACATCAGACGATCAGCTGCCGTGCCAGGTGCTGCTCATTGATATTTCTTTTTTCAAAGACAAATATTCAAAATTTAGTCAGACGATAAAGTGAGAGAATATTTTGGGATGCCTATAAAATGACCAAGGGAACATCTCGGGATTTTTTTTTTGCAAAAAAGTTCCCAAGATACGCCCTTGATATAAGAGGCGAGGACGATGGTAGGACTGTCAAGATGGCACTCAGGGCTTCCAGAAGAATGGGGAAACGGGTGTGGGAAAGGACAGCCATGATCCCACAGCACTTAGCATGAGAGGGGTCCTGCATGCGAATAATAACAATAATAATAATAATAATGTTTATTGCATACCGAAGTCGGTACATATAATACACAAACAGCACACATACATTACACATCATTCATCAATATACACAGAAAATAACTAGTCCCTGCTAGATGCGGGCTACCTATAGCTCCTTCGTGGGTAGTCGACTGCACTTACTCTTCAGAAATTGGACAATGCACATCAGGGTACGCACTGTTTCACCGGTGTGACGGCTTAACCTTAACTTAAGTGCAGGCAAAATGTCTTTGGAACAGAATGACGGTGTCTAATAATTAATGGAACAAAATTGTTACGGTGCTGTAAAAAAAATACTAGTGACAACATTATAAAGCTCCTATCCAATGTACAGGTTTTATTAAACCCCTTTTTATACGAAAGGAGTCCTTCCTTTTCATGTCTATTCCGCATATTAAAAAATCGAATTCGATGGGTAACTAATAGGTATGCGAATGCGTATTGCGTAGGACCATAGTTCAAACTTAATTGTTTGCAATTTGAACCAATTTGCAATTTCACTCAATATACCCTGATTTGAACTGTTACCGTTATTCACTCAGATAAGCTGAATAATTCCTTGGGTGCCGAGGATGTGCAGCGTCCATTTATATAGCTAATCATCTTTTGATCTGGGCCGAGACGGTGTGTGGCGCCACCAGAGGCCGACCGGCTTACGGGTCCTCGGTGCACCGTTTCGCAACAAAGCAGCTGCCTCAGAGGCTCAAACTCGAGAGATTCGCTAACCACCGCAAGGACTTTTAATCATCGGAAATCCGAGGTGATCCTGAGGTGTCAGAATCGGTAAAGGTCTGGCTTTGGCAATTCTTAGCCTCCGCACCGGACGGGGTACTGCGCGGCAGACCGACCAGGCAACTCCAAAAGTCCATTTATTCCCATTGCAACTCCTTTCCGTGCCTGGATTCTGGAGAAACGAAGCTATCTCGCAAACCCTTCCGGGAAAGTGCTGGCTTTTGGCGGCGGGAGAGGGCCAATGAGAGGCGGGCAGGCGGTGCCAGGCTCCGCCCGCCGGCCGGCCGGCCGCTCGCCGCGCGCCGCGCCGTCAGTCGTCCGCCGCTGCCGACGTGGGGTGCGTGAATCGTGTGACGAAGCGAGCTGTGACGGGCCGTGCGGGCTGTGCCGAGAGTGGGCTGTGTGCCGGGCCGGCCGGGTCATGTGGAGGGCCTGACGGCCACAGAGCGAGCGATGATGGAGCTCCTGAGGAGGCGCGGATGGGCGCTGGTGCCGCTGCTGGCGGTGCTCTTCTTTCAGCCGGCCGCCGTGAGAGGATACTACAACTGGATGTGAGTACCGAACGGCAGTGTCGCTTCCAGGCTTCCTCCAGTGAGTTTCCCCAGGTAGAAGGAGATACTGGCCAGCCGTGACGACACAGAATGGGAGCCGTCCTTCCGGCGTAAAAGTTTGCCTCCATAGTCGCATATCCCTATTGCAATACGGTATGAATAGAGCATGGTTCAGTGAAAAGTGTTATAAATGGTCCAGTTGGATTGAAGCTGGTTAGGTAAGGTTAGGTTGGTTTAGATTATATTGTTTTCAGGACCATGCTTTTTTCATACTTTATTTCAATTTACGCCCCTCGTCAGATGATTTGCATTCGTGCTCGGACTTGTTTGGGCTTCCGTTCTTTTCAGACATGCTGGATAACGATTATTCGATGCATGGCCGTCTGATATCTCACAATCTTTCAACGTTGTGAACAGCGAAAAACATATATTTTTCTTCGTAATATTTATTGGCGATCTCCTTAATCCTCCAATCATCACGAACCTGGGACCATCACGTCTTACTGGATCAAATCACGGCTGCACACCGGCCGGCCGCCGCGCTCGGGCCCGATGCGGCCGGGTCTCTCGTCTCCTCAGTTTTGTCTGTCACGCTGGTCATTTGAGACTGTCCGGTCGCTGCGCTGCCGTCGCTGCCGGCGGTCACGATCCTCTGAGCTGAGACGGCCTCCAGTGCGTGAGATCCGACCCACGGCCGCTGAGGCCGCCGCGCCGCCGTGTTGTCGACCGGGCCGCCGAGTGCGTGCCGTTGATGGCGCGGTGACGCCTCCACAGCCGACTGCAGACTGCCGTTCTAAGGCCGGACGTGGGTAGCAGTCCGACTCCTCACTAACCACACACCTGGTCACCAGCCAGGTGTGTGCTGCACTTTTTCCTCACCTGAACACGGCGAGTATGGCGAGTGGAAATTATACACTGCTGGGAGCTTCTCACAGCAAAAACGACACATAAGACCACGTCAGGGTAAATAGGCGTCAAGGCCTTCTTTGTTAATTGTATAGTTAGAGATTTTGGTTTTGTTCCTAACATCACAGGAGAAATCAGGTAGGGGTTAACATTAATCCGTTAATTGGTCGGTGCTTCGCCCCTCCGCTTGGGTCCGCGGGTTCTCACGTTACTAATGACCGTGTTTGCGACCCACGGTGGGACGCACCTGAGGGGATTTGCCGGCCGATTTTCCATGGATTACCCGGAAAGGCGCACATTTGTGCTAAAAGCTGTGGTTCCATCAATGAAGAAATAAAATCAATCCATTGAATTATTTTCGGGCTAATGCAACGGAACGAGTTTGAAATGAATTGGATGTGATTATATTTGTTCCATAAAGTGGCCACCCGTTGGCCGTATAAGAAGTATCTGCGCGGGCTACAGGACGACACAGGGGACCTCTCACCCTTGCACAGAGAGGCAGAGCCGTCGCTGCCGGTGCCGAGACAGCACTCGGTCATGATCGGTCTTGGTGTACCGGCGTGTACCGGAGAGGGGAGATGACAAGGGTGCAGGACTGTGCGGTGTGTGTCCACCGACAGCCCGAAATGGAACGAACACCGATGTACAGCCCTCAGCAGACTGCGTGGTAGGTATTCTTTTTTCGACAAAACCGATAATAGCTCAAAGGCTATGCTATCTGTCGGTCGGAACTCATTGCACATAGATGCGCCATGCTCCACTCCTTCGATTAGGTCTACCACTAAACAAACTATACGCCTTGTGTGGCAATAAAATGCAAAAGTATGTTTTGGGGGCAAATATAAACTTTTGGGTTTTGTTGCCGAACTAGATGGAAAATGAATACGGTGATGATGCCAACCTAAGGTACGGAGTCTCACGCGTCTTGCTGTTACGATTTTCGAGTGACCGATAGCATGGTATTCGCGTTATTCTCGTTTTTGTTGAAAAAAGAATACCTACCACGCAGTTTGCAGAGGGCTGTACATGGGTGCAGGCAGGGCGCAGGCAACGAATGTCAGAGGTGGGACATGAAAGAAGCGTCATTAAAATATACATAAACAGACGCAGTTTCTTCGTAGTGATTGCAAGAATCATTCATATAGACGAAATATACTCGTATCAATGAATTCAACAAACAATTAAATGCTGCGTAAGCTTATGAAGTTACTATAAGCTTTATTTCTTTGCTGCACTTTTACTAATCAGCCTTTTATCAGCGTTGTAAAACAGCGATATGTGGCCTATACGGTGGTATGTGCGACCTCCCGCACAGCGCAGAGCGGTCAGAACTTTCTCGTCTCATTAGTCCATGTGATCAGAGATACCACACACAAGCGGTCCGCTGAGGAATGCACGGATCATTGCCGTTTGTCGTGACGGTATGCTCCTAATTGAGAATTCCAACCGTAAAGCGAGTTCCAATTCGATTTTTGTTCTGTGACGGATGAGATGCATGCCTGGTGGTCTATCAGAAGAAAAGTCGGTTCACTTTGTATCGGTAACAATTTATCAACGAGTTGTCTCCACTCATCTTCCTGTGACTTCTAGGAAATGCTTGTAAACTTTAATTTGCGCTGTGCGTCAAGCTCAGCAGAATAGAATAGCATGAACTTTACTAAGTGAAATAGGTACTGCAGTTTGTTAGGTACTTTGTTCCTGTAGCTTTCCAAAATAAAGAACATTTGATATGGTTTATAATGCGTTCACCTAAACCATGGAGACTGATTATGCATATGCAATGAAACGAGGCTATACTTGATACTAACTTTCTAGCTCTAGCTCATAACCAAGAGCTCACCTCGTCCTCGACACCCAGTCATGGAAGGGTTCTGCTGAGCGTTTTCACCGTATTGCCTCCGGTAGCAGCCCCAGCGGGTGGTCTGTCTCGCCGGAGACCTTACGGGTGTGTCTGGCTCGTTGGGGCACTGACATTCCGCCAGCAATGGGCCGTCTCATGTGGCGTTTATTGGCGTCTGTTGGGCAGGTGGCTGGTCGGAAGCCGCGCGGCACTGTCAGCCCGTCCTGTATCCTGAGAGTGGCGCGGGATTGGGCGAGCAGACAGTTACAGCAGACGATCGGCAGACAGTCGAAAGACAGATCCTCTGAGACTGTCTGGGAGACAGTTACAGAAGGTAATCGGTAGACAGCTCCTGCGAGACTGGTTGGTTGCCGTCCTCGCGGGACTGGCCGATAGATAGGTCGGGCCACATGGACGACAGCAAGCAGGCGTTCACAGCAAATTGCTCGTCAAAAAGTGCAAAAAAAAACATATAATAGACGCGCATGCGCGTCTATTATATGATATTGCGCAACATATGATATTACATATGATATTGCGCGCATGCGCGCGCGCAATACACACACACAGAAGCCCCTTTTGATATATATTCTCTGCAACGAGGCTTATTGCGCATTCGATAGACGCAACGTCCCTCAGGCAAAAGCACTTTTTCCTTGACACACGCGTGCTCTGGTGCATAAGGAAAATGATTGATCGGGGCTTCTTCAGGCGTGATGCATTATTCTAATGATGACAGATCAGACACGTCTCCCCAAAGCGCTACAATGCCGCGACCGTACGAATCAAGTTGTCCGACACGGCTGGCACGCGATGGAGCGCTGTCGAGCGGGGCCTTGACAGCCAGGACGCTGCTCAGATGGCCGTGGAACTAGGTAGGTAACAAGTCTGACATTAAACTGTCCAAACGGCCGACGGTTATGTCAAACGGTTGTTGGGAGACGATACTTATATGTGCCGCGTTGAATAACTCGAGCCGAATATTGGCTAAATGTGCAGCTGTCGCTGTGAGCATAATTGGGCGGAAACGAAACCTGGCACAAAGCTAGGCATATTGGCTCAACTGGGCGTGTTTCTTTGTTTTGATTGACGTGGCCTGTCATTAACAAATTAAAAGCAAACTTTAAGGTGGCATAACATTTGTAAACATAAGGCTCCGTGCCATAAGCATAAATAAAACTAAATAAGAATTGAAATTATTACACGTATTCCACACCAGTGAATTCAAGCTCACCTACTCAGTGAACTGTCGTTTTAGCTTTGTGATCCTTGCACACAAATTTCAATTTAGATCTGATTTGATCTGACTTCTGATCATTGGAGCGCACACGTTTTATGCGTGTTCCGATGGGCTTACTACAACCAAGGTGGTCCACTTGCGAGCGAAACTGTCTGCAAAGCTCTGACCAAAGCGGCTCTGTCTAGAGCGGTAGATCTCTAGAATGCCTACCGAATACGTCACTAACGAAACGGCTTTATGGGGCACTTTGAAATGCCAGGCTAGTGCTGTACTGAGTTACTGACCGTAGGCACTTCATGTTCGCCTGCTGACGGAATGAATTGACATTTTCCAGTAATCTGTATGTACGTGCAACCCACTCCTTTATTCTCTCGTTTGCTGCTACACCACGATTACATTCACGTCATTCACTTCAGCAGGATTGCGGTTAGTTTGTTTTCAACTTAAATGCTAAGCTAGTCGCTGCAAATGGGATAAGCCTCAGTGCAGTGGGTGCACCCAATTTGGCGTGCTTCGGTCCTCTCCCCGGCGGAAGTGGGAGCTTTTCTCGGAGTTCGTCCTCGCCACCAATGCGTCGTTTCACCCCTGCTGGCCTTTCTGTGATGATAGGATACCCTATCGCTGATTAGTGCGCGTTCCACTCGTTCGCTCCATCATTGCTTACGAACCTCACCTTTTGGCTGTTAAAGGCCGTACGTTCCCGTCGCGTGTGCTCATCCTCCTTGCGGGCGTCTTACCATAACCGCCGCCCGCAGCAAACACGCTAAGGGAAACGACGACAGGAGAGGTAGGATTTAGGTCAAAAGGGGGGAAGCTGGGGATGGCGGGCGGGGAAATGATGACCATTTTCACTCTACGTCCGTCACCATGGCCGTCGCTGCTCACACTGGTCAGCCCCCTCCCGTCACCGTCTCCCGCGCCCGTCCCTCGTAATGACCGTCTTATCGGCCGCCGCCGATAAGACCCGTTGAGGGCTCCAGCCGCGACCAGCCGGCACTGAGCCGGGGGACG